GAGACGTCAGTAATTATGGGGCAAGTGTTTGAAAAACAAAAAAACTTGTACGCATGCACATAGGATTACGCCTAAAGCATTCGACACCAGTACCCCATCTTGGCTCCTTCAATGGTTTGGAGTTTAACCAAGCTCACCCATTTATCCAAAACTTCCTGAAAACCGCGATGAGTCATTGAATAACAAAACTGTACTTCTCTCTAATGGAAAACAATCCGCCACACAGATATATACACATCCGCCGAGGGTAATTTTCCAGGTTGACTCTTAAGCCCTTTAATTGTTCTGCTTAGCCTTGGAATCCCCTGTTATATCTACTTAAATTCATCTAATTCGGAATCGCTCTTAAAAAGAGGAACCAACTCTTCTCGGTCTCACATCTTTACATGGATGACCCTGAAGCTCTATGCAGACACTTGAGATCAATTAATAATCGTGACGGAGAAGTTCACTGGACGACATCAAGATGAAATCGGTTTGGTAAGGCAGAGAATGAATATCATTCGGGTCATATGCAAGTTATAAATTTTGTAAACTGATAATGCAACAAAGATTACCTTCACGGAACCCCATGAAAACTTGACAAATAAGTTTGGTTCGCACAGTCACTCCGAATCAAACAGCACTGTTACTAAGAACATACTTAACCAACTGAAGTGTGAAAACGATTGCATGGACTTAAAAATCAACTCTCTGCTAAGAACCTTGTGCAGGCCAATCAATTCATTTATTTCAGTACTGGCATACTCTTTTTGCGTTTATTAAGTGGAGGCCAACAACCGACCTCGACAACCTCCAGAGCGACAATCAACGTTATGACTCAACACCGAAAACAGTCATCCCCATTCAGTACTGAGCGTTTTACCCTTCCAAGATCGCAAGGAGGCGAGGTATTGTTAGGATCTCATAAATCTACCACAGCTCTCAAATTGCTTCACTCAAAAATATTCTTGGAACAATGTGGAAGAGTTCAGCAAGCAGTGAGCGCAGTTTGATAATAACTATAGTCCTCGAACTTGAAAAAAGCTTGATCCGCCTATTCAACCCAATCATTGAAATGGGAAGAGGGTGAAGATAACCTTATGGAAAGCGAAGGCACTGCATGGAAGGTGCCCTCACGAGCTGAGTAAACCAGAAGTCGAATCTCTGCGTCGCACGCATTGGCTCCAGCACGGGGCACTCTTTCGCGGAGACAGAAGCCTTCATGATAGCTATCCAGACCAATGTGTACCAACATTGAATACAGAAAAACACATTCTGAGAGATTCTACCATTCTTGCCGGACTCGTGTAGAAGATGAGAGTCTGCAAACAGAAACTATCCAAACATCGTGACAAAGTGGATGTAGCAGCGCACGCACAGTTGGAATACAAAAAAGAGGCAATGAGTGAAGGTGGCGAGCAGTCCACAATTATTGGCATTGAGGAAATGCGGGCTTACTCGCCAATTCCGTGCCGTATTAATAAATATGTGCCTCAGAATGTGCTTGAAGCAGTAGTGAGCAACACACTCTACTGGAATCGCTCCATTATCACTGACAGACATGTCGGCGGCAATAGACCCGATATGACGTACATTGATAGAAACCATCAACAGGTTTTCCTTAACGATATATCAATACCCAATACCCACAACATATTGGGAAAATATCAAGAGAAGATCCAGAAGTATACGATCTTGCCCATGAAGTCACAACTCAGTGGAACTTCAGTAAAGTGACAACTGTGCCTCTAATAATATCAGCTACTGGAGTGATCCCGAAAATGACACTTCGGACACTGGAGTGTCTTCACTTGGATGCCAGGAATGTATATAATAAGCAAAAGTCAGTAATTTTGAATACATGCCGTATTGTCAGAAGCCATCTGAACCTTCAGAAAATCAACCACACACCTGGTCATCATTCCTGTGTTTGGTTGGCATACTGACCAGTAGATACTGTGAATAATGTAAGATAACAACAACAATAATGATAATGATAATAATAATAATAATAATAATAATAATAATAATAATAATAATAATAATAATAATGATAATAATAAATATAATACATCGGCGGCAGTACTGCCAGTGGCATAGTCAGCGGTTTTCGCTTAGCGTGTTGTTTCCAGTGCAGCGTTGATAAAGCAACAATGCACGATTCGTTTGGCATATACATTTCACAAATCAATTAGCGCTGGCAAACAAATCCAAATAGTTCGAAAAATATATAATAGTAATTATTAAGTACTACAGTATTGACATATTCTCCAACTCTTCTCGTTTAAACACAAATTACACGTTACGTGTATGAAAGGGTGGTGGATCCATTGAAGCCAATCCCCCCCTCCCAAAAAAAAGCTTAGAGTTTTCGCCTGTTACCTTCTATTCGACAAAATTGGTTTATTTATGTTATTATTTTATAGTATCACACAGACTACAAAAATAATATACAATATAACAAATGTTTAGTATTTAACAAAAATCTATGATGGCCCCCTCCAAAATGATCGGCTGGATCCGTCCCTGGTCTGAACATGAAAATTGTTAACGCTCCATACGTTTTCACACCTAAGAAAAATCCCGTAAATTCTCATTACAAATCGAAGAACAAACGCTCGTGGCCATCTGTTTCATGGAATGTAACATGGACAGGGGTTAGGATAGGGAACCCAGAATTTAAGAAAACGTTCACAGAATACATTATTCCCAATAGTACGCCATACACAGTTTTAACTAGTTTTGACGTTAAGTAAATAAAACATAAAGCTTCGAAATGGTTCCGTGTCCATGTCCAACAATGAGAAGAATTCAAAAAAATTTCAAACTAACAGCTCGTCAAATGGAGCGCGGCAAATTTAAATACAAGATTTCAAAAAGAGTAAAATTACGCTAAAATATTCATATTTTTAAACAATTATACATAACCTTTTTTAAAAAACTGATTTTTAAAACACATTTTATTTAACAAAATATCTCTTTCATCAATATTGCCCATTTGCAATGCTAATTTTTTTTTGTTTGCAAAATACTGAGTGAGCTGAAAATGGGACCAGCATCATTTACTTTACTTTGCTATACACAAAAACTTAACGAAAAAATTGGAGACGTTTTTTGAGAAAATAATTGTTTAAATTGGTTTTAAAAGCACATGTTTCAAGCTAAATTACACACAAATACTCATATTTCCGAAAAATTTAACATTATCTTATTTGAAGATCTTTCTTATGAACACAATGCATTAAGAAAAAAACTATCATCACAATTGTATATAGTTGTAGGAAGACGCCGAAACATTTTGAATTTCGTAATTTTCGAAAACGTCAGGGATTTCAACGAAAATGAGACCTGCCCCATTTTCTTAAGTGTCCTTTACCCAATCATTTTAAAAAATTAGTACTTTTTTTTGAAAAATTTGAAAATGTCCAGGAGTTTCATGAAAAGACACCTCCTCCAATAAAATATCCATTTCAAATCAGAGGTGAAATGTGGTCCTGCTTACGTTTCAGTCACTAGCATTATTCAGATAGACAGAGAGACTAAACGTTAGAGGAAGTAATTTATTATACATATTTAGGGTCAAGATTTATTCACTTTTTCATTATCGGGGCCCGTTTCTTTCTGCGCCATTACAATTCTTTCTCTACAGGGTGTCAGCAGTAGCGAGAAAGTAAACTAGTAGCGCTACAACAGTAGATACTTTCTTATATTATTTATACATTTGCAATTTTTGAAAATTTAGAGTGTTCAATGAAAATGAGACCGCACTATTTTTTTAGCATCTCTTCTTGTATCCATGGAAAAAATGTGAAGAAAAAATTTGGAGTAAAATTAAAAAATTGACTAGAAAATTATCTAGCACAAGAAAGTCTGTGCTTTCTGTAACATCTCTAGTTTAAAAAGTATCCCATTTCACTCAAACCATTGTGAAATTTACTGATATATTTAAAAAATGCACATGACATTATTTAAAAACATAATTAAGGATAAATCTATCTCCAATAATATAGTTATAAAAGGGGGGTCCAAAAAATTTGAAATTTTGCAATTTAAAAAATTCAGAGATTATAATGAAAATTGGGCAATTCATTATAAGCATAATTCATTCTATTCTAAAACATAGCAAACATTTTCAAGAATAAAATAAGCCTTTGTTAAGAAAATTAAGAAAAAGTTCCACAGGCTTCACGTAAAATATCCCCCAAAATAAAAAATCATTTTAAATTCGCAGGACTCAGGATATTAATCAAGGATCATTTACTTTGGGAAAAATGCTATGGTTTAGGTGCTAGCCTTGTTCACACACATTATACTGCATGCCCTATGCTATTAACTCATCAGCTATTACTTGAAAAATGCAAAAAAATAAAACTCAAAATGCTGACCTTGAAAGCCGAGGTCACGTAGGCTGGAGGGGCATAGGGGCCTCGGCTAGAAGGATCATGGATTCGAATCCCGCCTTGGCATGGATGTTTGTGTGTTCATGTTGGCCTTACTTGTATGTGTTATTCCTACAGTTAAAATAATCACAGTGGTTGCTATATGACCAAGATGTTAAAAAGCAACATAAAAAAAAGGGGGAAAAAACCCCTCTCCATATGTGTATTTCCATATTTCTATTCCCATGGTACACAAAAATTTGGGCATAGTGATTCCAGAGCTAAGATGTACAGTTTGAACTTTTTCTTCATTCTTCACACACAGTTTTTAAACTGCTATTTGACATGAAATAAATTTTAAAAAAATGAATAACTCTCAAAGAATTAATATATTTTGTGTTGCTTTGCAAATTATCAATTAATTTAAGTAGATTAAAAAACATTTGCATGTTTCATATGTATTATAACCATATTAATTATTTCTGTTTTGAGGTGAAATACTATATTAAATTTACTTCATGCTGTATAAAATTTAGGTTATGCTGGAATAATGTAAGAGAAAATATAACACTGAAAATTAAACAGTTTAGGTGTAAATTACACATTACTCTTATGAAACATGTTTGCTTTAATTTGTAGGAGCTTCTGTTGGTACAGCATTAACTTACCCCTTAAGTGGACTTGTTATTGCATCTTTTGGTTGGGAGTCTGTATTTTATATTATTGGATCCTTAAGTTGTTTGTGGTGTATTGCATGGTGGCTCCTCGCCTACAATACTCCTTCTGATCATCCACGAATCTCTGAAAAAGAAAAGATTTATCTTGAAGAGCACTTGGGAAAATCTCTGTCAACAAAAGAGGTAACCAAAATATTTTGGAATAATAGGAGTAGAAAAATTCATTGTTCAAAAATTCAAACTTTTGTCTGTCTTCATCTTAAAAGAATTTTATCTCACCAAATTAAAATTATTTTATATTGAAATATTCTTGCACACTTCAAATATGCAAAAATAAAAGACCACAATTGTAATGACAAATGGCTCTTATATATTTTCTATTGATATTTTATTGAAAATGCATTTTTCAAGCTTTGCTAACATTTTATTTATTTATGGAGTAAATTACATGAAGTAATGATGTAAATATGTGAAATAAAAGCTTCTTCTTCTAAATATGTGAAATACTTTTTACTGCAGTTAAATAAATGTAACCAATACAGTAAAAATAAATAAGTAAAAAAAAAAATTAAAATTAAAAAGGTAATGAAAGGGAGTGACAAATCAATAATAAGCAGGCCCTCCTACACTCTTTTTACAGTCATCATCCTTGAAGACTCCATGGAAAAATATTTTCTATTCTCGTCCCTTTTGGGCAGTTCTCGTGGCTTCTCAAGGGCTAATGTGGGGTTCCATAACACTATCAATGCAAATGCCCACCTACTTCTTTGCTGTGCACAACTTGGACATAAAAACTGTAAGCAAGAATTTCATTCCTCCCCCCATTTTATATATTTAATCTCTTTTCAGTGTTTAAATTACATGCAATTGATTGAGTTGCTGTGTTTCTTGGATCTTTGTATTCAACTTTCTTTGTTTGTTTTTTTCCAGAATGGCTTGGTTTCTGGAATTCCAGATCTCAGCAAATTCATTTTTGGACTGATGTTTTCATCATTAATGGACCACTTGCTAAAAAAGGAAATTCTTTCAATAACAGCAACACGGAAAATTTCTGTAGCTGTTTGTTAGTAAGATATTCTCATTGAATATCATAATTCAGAACATTGGATCACTCTTAAATATGATTTGTTTCCTCATCAGGTGAATATTTGCCAGCATTTTTGCTCATTATTCTTGCATGGATTGGTACTGAAAATGCTGTTGTGGCAGCTGCTCTACTATCATTTGCTACTGCAGTAGGAGGTGCTAGTTCTTCAGGAAGTCTGGCAAATATAGTGGACCTCAGTCCAAATTTTGCAGGTACATCAGTTGTCTGAAGCATTAATTCTAAAACCATTACTTTACATACATTTATATTCACTGTCTTTCCATTTTTCAGGAACAATTCTAGGCTTAATAAAAGTCTTAACATTCATCCCAGGTGTTTTGTCACCAATGATAGTGAGCCTTCTTCAAAGTCATGTGGTATGACATGTACATACAAACTTTGGCACATGGCAGGGGGAGGGGGAGAGGGGCACAAAGCCATTAACCTTGAAAAACAAATTACTCAATTATTTATTCAAAACAAATATTATATCTTAGTTGCATCTCATCCAAAAGGATATTTATTATGAATTTACATTTATTAAATTTAAAGTCACCAACAAATTTTGAAACTGAAATGTCCTCTCTCCCCCCC